CTACATAGTAGAAAAAACACAGTGTGAGAGGGGGAAGGCAACAGCTGCCAGGTTGGCAGGGCATGGGGCCTGAGAAAGGCCTCCTCTAGAAGGCAGGATTTGAGCTGAGCTTTGAAGGGAGTCAGGGAAGCTAAGAGGTAGAGGTAAGGGGAACACAGCAATTAAGGCACCGAGATAGCAGGTCATGTTCAAGGAACTGCAGATAGACTAGCATTGTTGGCTCTGAAAGTTTATGGAGGAGATCAAAGTGTCAAGACCTGGGAAGATAAAAAAGGGGCCAGGCTGGTAAACAGCATTAAATGCCAAGCAAGAGTTTAAACAGGGAGCCAATGTGGTTCACTGGTAGCTAAATGGGGGATCAACTGGAACAGGGAGAGGCTTGAGGCTGGGACTGTTAGAATAGTCCAGGTGAAAGGGGCAGCCAAGTGGAGGTTGTTCAGGTCAGAGTGAAAGGGACACAGGGACATTTGACTGGGGGCAGACACTTCCTGGGGCTGCTTACCTGTTGCACTCACCCTGCTCTGGGATGGCTCAGCTCTGACAGATGAGGACAGGCTCTTACACATACAAAAGAACCCAGGGAAGAGCATCTTCCTGAGCTCCAGTTGGCACTGGACCTTGATTTCTGCAGACCAGGCTGAACGAAGACCTTAACTCCAGAGTTTCTGCACTGTATGAAAAGCATGATGTCTATGGGAACTGTGTTATGATACTCCTTTGCTTGTTCAAGGGAAGACTCAAATGGTGTATGACCCAGAACTCCTGGGAGCAGATTAATCCTATGTATGCAGGTACTTCTGGGACCTAAGAGAGCAGTGGGCTCCTAGCTACTCAGGAGATGTTTACCGTTTATTATTATATATGGTCTCTTTACTCGTTGATTCTATGTAGAGTAAAAAAATTTCCCATGCCACATTCCAGCATGTGGATATGCTTCTTTGGGGGGAACCAATTCCATTAAACCAAGATCATATGGCTGGTTTTCATGAAATACAGTCCATTCAAAAGGAGGTGTGGTTACCCAGTTGGGTAGCTCCACAAATTTATACATGCCCTAGACAATCAATTACTGACCCATAGAGAGATAAGGAACTGAAGGATAGGAGGGCATTGACTCCTATAACCACAGAGAACACTGACTTCCTGAGTGCCTCTACCCCAGAAGGGCATAAGCAAACAGCCAGGGTGACTCCCTGGGGAGTCAGTGGCTAACAAGACCACTGAGTGGCTAAACTGGAAATATGTTACAGCATACTTCTGCCCACCTTTTGTCTTTCCATTGGCCTGTCCATAACCTTCCTTCAATTAGGGCACTCCATCATTTGTGGCCACACAGCATCCTTGGGAGGATATTCATGTTATAAAAGACAAGTTTTTATGTCAGGGCAAAGTTGGGGGCCACTGGGAGTACAATTCCCAAATGGAATTCAGTCGACTCTCTTTTTCCTAGACAAGTCGGGGTGGGTCTGGCTCACTGTCCCTCCAAAGTGTCTGGGCTGATATGCAAATACATTACATGGTCCTGACTAGTGGCATTTCTTATCCACTTGGTTTTACCTGTCTGGATTGTTAGGCTAAGTTCTTTTGCATGAGCACCTCTCCCAGAGTTACTTTAAAACCACAAGGTAGACTGCTTCTGTGTCATGAGGGATGCCAGGATCATTAAGAGAAATGGCAATGGAGGCAGTATATGATGCCTATGCCTATGTAAACTCAGCCATAGTACAGTTCCTATCCTCCTCCCACACTTTCCACTATGCCCACTGGACCCTTTTTCCTATTGTTAACATACACTTTTTCATCCTAGGTTTCTTCCTCTCACTTTCCTTCAATCTTTTCTCAATCCCCCTCAAAACCTAGCTTTCTCTGGAAAATACGACATCTCATGGTTCTTTCTCCAATCACAGCTTTTCCTCCTTTCATACCTTCTGACACTCAGGGGTAGTAGGATATAGCAAACACCTTGCTCCCCAATGCCAGTCAGACTGTCCCACCATCATCGCTCAGCAACTACCTTTCCTCTTCTAAAGTTCATTCTATCCCATCTGTCCCATCTTGTTTCTGTAATCTACGGGCCTCCAAGTCACTTTTCTTTCTTCCCCACGGATTTAGTGCCTAGCTTACAGTCTTCTTCTCCATAATAACCCCACCTCCTTCAAACATCTGGTCTCTAAATTCCTAAAATCCTATGACTTCTCTCTCATTTACTTCAACAATCCACACAAGTGAGCATACTTCAGACATGACCCTCCCCAATTGAATTTGCCCCAGACGCTGGAATTCCTAGTTATGGCTTTAGACAAACACCTCAGGCAAAGCACACATCACCCTGTTGTTTGTTTCTCTTGATGCTGATAAGCAGAAGATTGTTGAACAAAGTTATCTCCAAGTGGGAATCTTATATGATCTCTACATACACATGGAAAACTTTAAGACTGCATTTTGCGGTATGGAGCCAAATGCTTTAAAATAAAAAAAACATAATCGGCAAGATTTTGAGTTCCCTAAACCTCTGAATTGATTGTATGATTGTGAAGACATAATTTGCCGTGGAAAACCGTCATGATAGCATGGACGTTCCCTTCTCTGCTAATAATAATGATGATGATGGTGGCATTAAATCAGTAAAGCATCTAAATGTTTACAAAGAACTTTGCATCATCAATGATAGCTGACATGTACATAAAACTTTAAAATTTGCAATGTACTTTACAATAATATCTCATTTGACCTGATTCTGCCATTTACCAGCCATGTGACCTTGTTCAATTCATCTAAACCCTCGGAACCTCAGTTTCCCCTCTTTAAAATATTTGCCCTCTCTACCTAACTTATGTGGATGACCTTGTAAGCCATTAAGCTCAATGTAAATATCCACTGTTGTTAATACTATACTCATCACCAGGTGAAGTGGATGGTATTCTCCTGAGTTATGAAGAATGGCTGTCTCGTATAGAATCCAAACAGAAGAGGAGATTCCCTGTAGGTCACGAGGCCCTCCAGATGCTCTGGTTTGTGGAGGACGTGGCACTGATTGCATCAAGACCTAGAATACCACAGAACCACCTCAATGATATCCATAGATACTCCAAAGAGATTGACTCAATTCAGTTGGGAAAGACCAAACGGATGGAGGATGCCTGTTGTCCAGGGTGTGACAAGCATGCAGGTAAGCAGTCCGCTGAATGAGCACATTAGCATACTACATATCTTTGTCTGACCTACAAGTGAACTGGGGAGAAAGAGTAGGCCGGAATACATCTGGGAAACTGAACAGTTCTAACAAGGATTTCAAGCAAATGCCAACTTTTTTAACATTGATATTCTCCCAAGGATGTTTCATGGCTGCAAATCATGGCACTGCACAATGGATGAAGGATCACAACTGCACGTGACTCCAAGGAGAGACACAGGATAAAGGAAAGGAGGCAGCTGAATGTTACCAACGATGGCACACACCTGAGAAGAATGAGAGGCACAAAGAATTGGAAATTGAGAGGATGCCCATCAATTGGGGAATGGCTGAACAAGTTGTGGTATATGAATGTAATGGAATACTATTGTGCTATAAGAAATGATGAACAGGCTAACTTCAGAAAAACCTGGAAAGACCTGTATGGTCTGATGCTGAGTGAAGTGAGCAGAACCAGAAGAACGTTGTACATAGTAACAGCCACGTTGGCCGATGACTAATATTGATAGACTTAACCCTTCTCAGCAATACAAGGACCTAAGACATCTCCAAAGGCCTCAGGATGGAAAATGCTATCCACATCCAAAGAAAGAACTATGGAGTTTGAATGCAGATCAAAGCATACTATTTGCTATTTTTTTTCTTCTGTTGTGTTTTATTTCCTCTTTCTGGTGGTTCCTCCTATTGGTTCTAATTCTTACTTACAACATCACTAATGTGAAAATATGTTTAATAGAAATGTATATGTATGGAGGTGAGGAGTGAGGGGGAGAAAAATTTTAAACTCAAAAGCTTATTGAAGTGATTGTTGATA